ATAAAAAAGTATAAGTGAAAAAAAATAGTAAACCTGTGCTCCACAGTACATCCTCCCTGAAGATTTCTTCTTGTGCTATATCGACCTATCCAGGTCAGTGCTAGCTTTAATTGACTCAATCTCTGCTCTTCATCTGCTCCCTTTCTTAGCTGAAAAAAAAACAAACATAAATTCAAAGTTTACATTAGTTTTTTACAGAAATTATTTTAGTTTATGTAGGAATCAATAAGATTATGGACACCACTCTCAAATCCATTCTGGAACCAACCAGTAGTGAGCAACAAGTATAAAATTTCATGCTCAAGGAAACAACAGCTTTTCACTGACAGGTTTGAACCCTAAGTAATTACCTGAGTCCAGCACATTTAAAACTTGGCCATGCCTCCACTAGTAAAAGTTACTGCCTATGTACATAAACATGAATGTTTATAAAATTTAACCTTTAGTCTTCATTACCTCCTTTCTAAGCTGATAAATAAATAGCTGAAATATAAAGTAAGCACTGTCGTCTGCATAATTATGGTGATGCAGTCTGAGTTGTTTTTTTATGTATCATATTCAGCTGTGGACAATTTTCTTTGACATTAATAAAACAACCCAAAAAACTTGACTGAAATTCAAAGTTAACAGTGTCATCTGCTTTGTTACATTTAAGTTTCTCAGTGTAACGCTAAAGAACCTGTTTCTATATCCATATTTTGCTAGAAATCATCATCGTCGTATATCCGGGGTTGATTAACATGTTAATGGTTCAGCAGTGGGTATCCAACAACAGTAATCATTTGCTTTGCAAATCTACAAATCAGGCATAATTTGTTTGCCTTGTATCCTCATAAGTTATTTTCATTTACTTCATATAATATTGATAATAAATACAAAAATGCTCAAAATAAAGGAAAGACAAATTATGATAAAACAATATTTCTGAATTACATTACCAATAGACTTAATCCAGAATTAAGAATAATTTGGGTTTTCCCAGCTAATAATGTAGTACAAAAAACTTTTACAAGTAACGGCTTAAAATAAGAGTAACAGATTTGACTAACCTACTGTGACGGGTAGTGCAATGTGAATATTTAATGGTAAAAGTTAGTTTGTACCTACTGATAAGCTGGGAAAAACCCACTTTGCCTATTTCCGGATAACGTCTATTAAAAATGACAAAGATAAAAAGTTTACTAACCTTTTCAACAAGACTGAGAGAATGGAAAGTCTTAAAATTTATGTTTTGTTCATATGAAAAAGTCAATGTAAAAAATTTTATTTTATTGAAGAATGTTCCATTAAACTTACAATATGGGTAACACAAATTTAATAGTTTGTTGATTTCCATTGTTCTTTTATGGGCTTGCTTTACAGAGAGAGGGCTTTGTTGGAAAGGGTTGTGAATACAAAACGATCAAATAAACGGAAGGAGATACCACCCTTTCACACCAAGCTGTCAAAATGATATTGGATGTGTAACACGGTACGAGTGGCTCACTATCCAAAGGGCATAGATGAATGATGAATTATGGACCCAATGAAATGAGAAAATTTAAATGCATTTCATAATTACTTAAGAGAAGTCTTCTTTTGTTTACATTATAACTGGAATAAATACCAGAATTATAAATCCTTATATTATAAATATTTTAGTGGTGTTAAACCCCTTCAAACAATTAATCTAAAATTGATTTTTCAACATATTATCATTACATTCCTTGTACATCAATTTTAAATCATAATGTTAAGGTGAAATAATGTTTTTAAGACATACCAGGTCAGAATTTTGACAGCAGATCTGTACGGACTCTTTGATGTCTATCGTCTTTTTCTGTATTTCCTCGTCTTTCCAATTCTTACCATAAGCATCAAAGATTTTGTCCATGAGTTTAAGCTCATGTTTCTCTTTCATACTTCGAATTCCACTAAAATGATAAAAAAAACACTATTAATGATAATCAGTGTGATAAGAAATAAGCTTTTACATGTTAGAAATGTAATGGCTGGGCAACAAAGGAAGAGTTGACAGTTGGATAGCATGCTTGACTTATAATTCTCAAAGCCTGATAATATAGACTTGTTTGATTTTCTGAATAGAAAGAGTCTAACAGATTGTATTAGCAGGTAGTTGTTACATTTTTACACATTTCCTTGATGCTGAATCCATTTTTTTGCTATACCTTGGCTGTACTCGAAATCAAAATGGCCACCATTTACTTTCATATTTTTACATATTTTTTCTTGTTACTTGTTACTTAATGTAAAAAACTTTAATCATATTCATCTTAGTAATGCATAAATGTTTATTAGAAATAATTGCTAGAGTTATAGGCCTGAATCAGGTATCTTTAGTTTGAGCGAGAAGAGGTGTGTGAAGTTTCACATGAACACTTTCAGTGGTTGCTGACATAAAACTTGCCTGAAAAATCTTAACTACAAAGGATAATAATTAAAAGACAATTCATGCTTGTGTCTTGGCCAGTGACCTATTACTATGACCAAAGAGAAATGTGTGAAGTTGTAAGTGAAAATCTAAGATCAAAACATGTTGTATGGACCTTTCCGGTTTTTGGTAGCGGAACATTTAGCCACACCATTTCCATTCATTGCTAGGTCAACTGCTCACAAACAGTATCACAAACATAACCATGTGTTATTTTGTGCAATATAGGTCAACCAGTGACTATGTATAATATCAGTGTAGCAATTTTGATAACAAGTTAGCCAATTTACATAAAACTGTAAACACCGGAAAGGTCCATTAAGTTTGAACACTTTCAAGACTTCACATAAATGATTTACTAAAATGTATCCGAAAACAGATACTGCTATTTCATTAAAAAAAAGCTCACAAAGTATTTACTCACCCAAAATTTTTTTGTATGGGTTTAAGCGTACGCAAAAATCAGCAGTCTACCGTACCCGCACAACGACGACTGGAAAATTTTTGCCGATTGACGCCCGGGATCATTTATACAATCAGTACCACCCTCAACTACGACAAGTACAACCGGTATACCTAAACCTCCCTCTGAAATGTGCAAACATTTGACATAAATGTTACTCTATGATTGTTGTTCATGAACTATCTTTAAAGGAACATTATGCCTTGGAAATGAATCATTTTTCCTTCTTTAGAAAAGGCAAACATGAATTTTGTTATGTTAAAATAGTTGTTTATAAGCATTTTACATGCTTAATATAAAAAGAAAGTTACGCTGATTGTGAATAGTTAAAATTTAGACTGGTATGTAAGAAAACCTGATATTGAAGTTCATATACCTGCTTGAGGCTGTGATATTTTCTGCTCAAGTTTGGCTCTGATACCTGCCACACCTCCATATCTTATCCTATAGCCATCATCCACAAATATAAAGTGGGTGTGGTCAGGATTTAATGGCACAGCTGAGTCATGGAGAATAACGTTACTGGTTCTGAAATCTGCATTAAACTTCCCCTGAAACACAGACATAAACTGTTTTAAAACATACAAGTTTTTTATATAAATACAGGATTTATTTTCATCATGAGGTATGAAAATAAATATTTGACACTGGCAGTAGCTAAAGATAAACCTCCAATCTAACACAAGGGCTAATAATGGCAGATTAAAGAACAGGAGAAAATTCCAGCACATATAAGCATACCTGTCCATTGTCACTTTCCAGAACATGTCTATTTTTCACGTAACCCCATGGTGCAATACCTATACAGCGTAATACATGAACCATGCGGTCATTGTCCCAGCAAAATGACTGACCCTGTCTAACGGCCTGACCCACAGCTTTCATTACACCCATATTGAACCCTGATGATATCAGCCATGCTGACGTAGTCTTTGCTGCCTGAAGTAGAATAAATATATACATGTACTTAATCCTTCACCTGATGAATTTCTTAAAATAGATTTGTCTGGCTTCCATTCCTCCAGGAACTGTCCATTATCATCATATTAGGAATACCAAACAAAAATTTGAAGTTAGTTTGTCAGCATGGTCAGACTGCATTACACAGGTTAACTACATTATATTTACTTCAGTATAACAATTCATCTCATTTGAAAGTTCAGCACAACACTATTATAATGAAACTAGCTGTTTTTCCAAATATGTGCAAAAATGAAAATTATAATCTTTTGTCATCTGAATTTTTAAATGGACTTTCCTTTTTTAAATTTAGGAAATCAGATTTAATTTACAAGCTTAAAGTGACAACAGAAGTATTTTCTTATAGTCAAACTTAATTGACTATACATTTCAAAATATTGACTGTTAAAATGGTGATTGCCCCACTCTTTTTATAAATTGAACAATACAGGTAACTTCTGGTGGATATTTATAGAAATTTATTAAGGTCAGGTGATAATTATAACAATGAAAAGAATTATCCCAGTAGATAACAGTTATCTTTCATTTAATTTTGAAGAAGAAAATACCTTTATCAACCCAGTGGAGAATGTATCCCTCATGCGTCCATCTAATTTAAAGTTTTTGGCTCCGCCCACAACAGAGATGACTAAATTTGGACGTTCAGGTTCCATAATTTTCCAGTGTTCCTTCATCAGTTCAATCAAATTATCAACAGAATCTTCATCTGTCATTCTAATATACTGGAATAGAAAATTGGTAAAATCCATCAAAATTTAAAATGATATTTCATGCTTTCATAAAATTTTCATTTCCATTCTATGAGTACTTGTTTTTAAAACTTTCCTTAACATTTTGAATGGTTTTGTCAAGATAGTAAGATGGACAAGTCAATTTAAGATATTTAACGACTAGTAATTGTTAAACATGCTGAGGAAAGTATCCACATTACATAAATTATGCATAAAGAAAAGAATCTTGTACCTTTGCTGGTTTTTTGCCACCTGAATGTTCCACATTCTCAAAATTTATTTTACCAAATGCACAGGACGCTGTTGTTCTAATATCTTTGTTCCAGGTAACTGCTGGGAGTTTCTCCGGTGGCGGGTCATAACGGCGTTCTCTTGACATTAACTTTTGTAGCTCTGGATAAATATTAACAAATGTTACAGTGATTCATGTAGGCAACTCATTTCAGATTATAATGTTTCTTGTTACTTGTAAATCTGCATTCTCCATTTTAATGATGAATAAAAGAGTATTCAAAATTTCAGACTCAAAACAAAATGATTTTGCATACCTCCAGATTCATGCTAATTTTCATGAAAATTAACTTCAAAGTAAAATATTGTCAAACGAACAAAGAAAATAATTTGCACAATGTGAACTGCACTTAAAATCTACGTATTTTACCAAAAAAGAGGTCATCAAATATGCAAGAATAGCCCTTACTGTGTTAGTCATCACACATGCATGCAGTAAATATGGTGATAAATACTGGTACTGAAAATTGGTCATTAATTGCATTAAATGTATATTATTAGTTGAAACTTAATCCACCAACAAACCATTAGCTAGATGGAGAGCAATTCTCATAATTATGAAAGAAACCAAAGACGGTTATAGCAATTATAAAATATAGAGGTTTTACCTTTAGGTACAAGATATTCCAGCATCATATCTGATGAGAATCCTTGCATGCCTGCATGCTCCATCAACACCTCTCCACAATGACATCTGTAATATAACCCATATGTGTTACATACAAATATTTCAGCATGACACAGTGTTACAATACGACTTACACGTACATTATCATGGGGTACCTTGTTCAGTTTATGCCCTAACTAAATATCTACTTGAATTGAATTTACTTACATTGTATTATTATAAAACAGATGCACATTTTCTACCCAAAAGATGCCCGAGACATTTAGTAAATGATTAATGATAGCAATTACACTAAACCGAAAGGTGGCTTAAAGGTGTTTTTGAATTGTTTATAAAACATAGTCATTCATATTTCTATTAAATTTAACCTATGAATACATGTATATTATACCAACTTTTTAAACTTATACTTACTGAAGATCTCTTATTTTCTTTTTAGCTTTTGGTCCTGTGGTTTGCCCAGGCTTTGGCACAAAAGATGCACATTCCTTCTGATGAAAATGTTGGCGAACAAATACCCGAATTTCATTGATTTTCTGTTGATAAGGGTCTTCCTCTTCAACATAAAACACTGATCCACTCTGACTACGACCAACACTCTTTGCTCTCTTAGGAATCCCTGACATACCAGGAACCTTTTTGCGTACCCCAATCCATCGAGCCTCTTCCAAAGTCAACCGGTTGCGCTGAGACTCCATCTCAACATTCGACACTGATGAGATAGCTGCCCCCCTATAATCTGCCGTGGAATATCCAACATCCATGTCAGATGTTCCCGGGAACACACGACTGTCAGCCATTTTTCCTTCCTAATTTTATTCCAGCTGATCTAATATCTGTGCAGTGTTACAAGTTACATATGGAATCCATTCTACAAATAATAAATAGTCAAAATTAGCTTTAATGTAACTAAAATTTGTTTACTAACAAGCTAAAACTAAAACATAATTGTAAAAGATCAAATTGAAAATGTTAAAAGAATAGTAGCCTGTTCAGTGTTGGATCAAGCTAGATTATGGTCAGACCTTTAGCATTAAGAGCATAATTATGCTCCACTTTATGAATCTCTGTTCTAGTCTACAGAGATTAAGGGCGATGAAAAGTCTCAATATCCCTTTCAACAATATTCCCCATCATGGTATGGTTGATTAAAATTTCTCCAAATATTTTGCCTAAAAATGTTCTTGTTTAGGTGTTCTCGTAGATATCCTTGTTATAAAATTATAATGGATATTTGTTTATAATTTGCATTTAAAAAATATTTTGTTAAACTAGTATCAATATTGTCAAACAATTTCTTACACATGTTGAATAGTCTCACACTCTGATTTCTTTTTTTTTTTTAATTATATTTTCAACAATTCAAAGTTCTTTTATTTGCCTATAAAATGTATATTAAAGTCATGCTTTTCTTGAAGTTTGGTTTGTGTAACTGCATGTTACAATGTTGATTTTTTTGTCATTTACTTTTGAACATGTGACATTAATTTAATTGAACAACCAACTAATTGTAAACACTGTCATCTTCTGGTCAAATTTGGCGTTAACGTCTCTGGTTTCTATAATTGATCAAGTGCTGTGAACGATGTATTTAAGACAACAAGCGTGAGATTTTGATTGTCTTTAAGCAGTTTTTGCTACCAAAACGTTATAAGCCACTTTTTAAACATTTTTTCATTTTTTCTTTCTTCTGATGCACCATTAAACATAGTTGTCCTTTCACAGTATAAAAATGGGTAGTCTTTTGGCATTTCAATGTTCATATAACATGATTATTTATGAAACTTTAACTGTAATAACTATAATATACAATTTTTTTTATAATTACGTATGATTTAGACACTGCACTAAACCATTAATCAGCTCTGTCATTTGGACACCAACATTATATACCTTGTACAGTTGCTTGTCTCTCTAATACTAGTAGCCCGGGGTTCTATATGATATCACAGTACTTAATGTTATATTCTTGGAAAATATTCAAATATAAATATCATACATGAATGAATTTTGTCTTCTATTTAATCAGTGAACCTTTTCCAAAACTGTTGTCAAAAAATTGTTTCAAAAGATCCAATTAAAATGACATTTTTTAAACTATTTCCAATGTCTGCCATTTTGGGTAATTGCAGATGAGGTTTCTATGGTATCACAGTAATCCCCAAAAAATCAAGTATGGAAGGATAGATGGGTCTTAACTTTCAAGTAAAGTTGTGAAAAACTTCCAACAGTAAACTTGCTATAAAATTCAAACTAATATATGAACAGACAATATGCCAGAATATGTGATTATAACATATTTTAATTGACTGTGTAAAAACGATTAAGGAAAATAGTGGTCAAATATGAAGGTTTTATAAAAAAGTTTTCTTGCTACGAATACATGGCAGATGAAAATGAAATTAGTGTGCCAGTTTAAAAAATATTAGCATCATTGTGTGTTGCTTTTACTAGCAGTCAAAGTAAATGTAAATACCGTGATATCATAGAACCCGTGATATCATATGAACTGAGTATATGTCTGCGCACGAAGTCAGCGCAGGGCGGATGTTTGCACCTGTAAAAATATTCACATGTTTTCGTGTGCTGTAATTCTAACAATTTTGACGATTTTTGGTTGTTACGGTGTGAAAGAACATCCCTCACCACAAACTTTAAATGATGAAACAATATTTGCAAAACTTTTTACAGCCGGTGATGATTTTCCGTCAAGCGTAGCCTTAAATTTTGCTATAAATAAAAAGTCACACAAACTTTCTTGTTACAACCTAAAGACAAATATATTCATGTATCTTATTATTATGCAATGTGGAGACATAGAAATTCAACCCGGTCCGGGAAACTACCCATGCGGTGTGTGTCACAAAAGAGTCACTTGGAATGCAAAAGCCGTCCAGTGTGAAGACTGTGAAGTCTGGTTTCATAGTGCTTGCTTAAACATTGGCCCAAAAACATACCGTGACTTAGGTAGAGACAGTGTAGTATGGCTATGTAACACATGTGGACTACCAAATGTCGCTACATTCACATTTATAGATTTAGACTCTTATCATTCAACAAACCCCTTTGATGAATTATCAAACTTAAGCATTGAATGTACCGGAATTGGTGAAAATGCATATACATCTACTCCATTGAGAAATATTAACTCTAGAAATAAAACTACAAATTTAAATCTTACTGATATATCTAAGAATGGTAGTGTTTCATCTCATGAAAACAGTGTTATGTCTGACCCAGAATCAAGTTTACAATCATCTCAGTGCATTTCTACTGATAAATCTACGACATCTTCAAGTGGTAGTTCATTATTGGTACGCAGGGGCGACACCCTATCATTTTGTGTTATAAACTTTCAAAGTATTAGGAATAAAAAAACTGATTTACATAATCTTATAGTTAGTGTTGAACCCGATATTATCCTCGGAAATGAAACTCATTTAGATCCAGCCGTTCTCGATGCTGAAATTCTACCTTACAATATACCACCTGAACACTCTTATAGAATTTTTAGGAAAGACCGCAAAGAACTTATTGAAAAAGGTGGAGGCGGAGTCATGGTTTTAGTTAAACCGGGTTTAGACTGTGAAGACTGTCCAGATTTAGATAGTAACTGTGAAATTAAATGAGTGAAAGTCACAACTTCAAAACATTGTAATATACTAGTGGGTGCATTTTATCGTGAACCCAAGTCGCAAATCGAAACACTGAACGAACTTGATATCTCGCTTGGTAAAATAGGAAATAGTGAAAAATATCGGAACTGTAAAATTTTCCTTGGTGGGGATTTTAATTTAGGAGATATTGACTGGGAGTATGGTAATCCTACGTCGGGTGCTAAAGATCAAGCACATTGTGAAAAATTATGTTCAATATTAAATTTACACTTTATAGAACAGGTAAACTTGCTACCTACGAGAATGAATAGAACTCTAGATCTTTTTATAACATCACACCCAACTTTGATTGAAAAATGTTCCACAGGACCTCCACTCGGTTTAAGTGATCATGATTGCCTGTTTGTTACATCAAAATTACGTGCAGTTGCCAACAAGAAACAAGATAGAACTGTTTATAATTATAAAAAGGCAGATTGGCAAAAACTTAAAGATCTGACAAATGAATTTAAATCTGACTACCTAGCTAAATACCAGAATAACAGTGTAGATACAAACTGGGTCAACTTTAAAGATACACTTTTCGAAACATGGACAAATGTATTCCAACTAAAAAACTGAAAAATAAACAAGATATACCATGGTTGCATAAAGATACAAAAAGAATGCCTCGTAAAAAAAAGCGTCTGTACAAACGCGCGAGGAAAACTAAATCGAGTGAAGATTATGAGGAATTCAAACTTTTCCGAGTGAAAGCAAGGAATAAACTACATAGTGACTATCATAAATATTTGAACAACCTATTAGACCCGGAACAAGATTCAACATCAAAGAAATTTTGGAAATATATAAAAGCCCGGAAACAAGATTCAGTCAGTATAGGTACATTGAAATCCCAGGGTGTTATAGCAGATAGTGCAGAATCGAAAGCCAACCTTTTAAACAGTCAATTTAGTTCGGTATTCACAAATGAAAACTTAAAAAACATTCCAGATAAGGGACAGTCCCCATACATACCTATGAATGATATTATCATCAGCGAAAATGGAGTAAAGAAATGTATTGAACGGCTAAATGAGCAAAAAGCTAGTGGTCCGGACAAAATTCCCATTAAAGTGTTAAAAACATTAGCATCTGAACTGGCGCCCATCATGACTAGTATTTTTCAGCAATCATTGTTAACTGGTGAAATTCCTCTGGACTGGAAACAAGCTAATGTAGTTCCTATATTCAAGAAAGGTGATAGATCAAAACCCGAAAACTACCGCCCAGTCTCTTTGACAGTCGTTGTATCAAAAATTCTTGAACATATAGTTGTGTCACAAATTATGAATCATCTTGATTCTCAAAGTATTCTACATGAAAATCAGCACGGATTCCGCTCGAAAAGATCTTGTGAATCTCAACTATTAATGACAAATGATGACATTGCAAAATCACTTAATTCCGGTACACAAGTGGATATGGCAATTTTAGACTTTTCTAAAGCATTTGATAAAGTTTCTCATAGACGTTTATCACACAAACTAGAGTATTACGGTATTTCCGGTAATACTAGGCGTTGGATTGATTCTTTTTATCTAATAGAACACAACAAGTAGTAGTGGACAACGCATCATCTGATATAGCCTCAGTAACATCTGGTGTACCGCAAGGAACAGTCCTCGGACCAACACTCTTTTTAATCTACATAAATGACATCGCAGATAATATTACATCAGGATATACGTCTATTCGCTGACGATTGTGTGTTATATCGGCCGATAAGTAACCAAAGTGACAACTTAGCTCTCCAGGAAGATCTTAGTAAACTTGAAAATTGGTCGGACATTTGGCAAATGGAATTTAATGTTAAAAAATGCGCCATTATGCAATTTTCATCTTCTCCACACAGAAAGAAATATGACTACAAAATGAAAGGCGAAAGCTTGGAAATAGTCAACCGGCATCCATATTTAGGGGTTGAATTCAGTGAAAATTTGAAATTCAACGACCATATTAACAACATCACAAAAAGGCAGCAAGTACACTTGGTTTTCTAAAGAAGAACTTAAGATACTGTCCTCCCAAAGTAAAAGAAAAGGCTTACATTAGCTTGGTCAGACCTAAACTGGAATACGCTTCTCCAATATGGAATCCTTTACAAAAGACTCAAGTTAAGCAGATAGAACAGATACAAAGAAACGCAGCAAGATGGGTATTGAATAGACCGTATAACCCACACAATCCTTCTAGTGTAACTGAACTAATAAAATAAATTACAATGGCCCAGTCTTCAACAACGTAGAGTTTGGGCAGATGTGACTCTCATGTATAAAGTAGTTAACTACTTAATAGCTGTACCAGTATCGTACCACCCACTATTGCCACAGTTCGTTCAACCCGAAGAAGTCATAGTATGAAATTCATCCCAATCCAATCTAGAATCAACGTTTATCAACACTCATTTTTCCCAAGAACTGTTAATACCTGGAATATTATACCGGATTCTTGTGTTACTTCTGAGAGCCTGGAGGCGTTTAAATCTTCCATCCAGCTCGTTCCAGTCGTACCATCATATGTTTAAATGGTCAACATCTTGTAAAGTGTAAATACATGTTGGTCAAATGACTTTTTAAGGGTGTAGTGTGGAACATCAGTTTGTCAATGGGACAGTTGTGATACAATTGTGTAAAATAGTTTTAAAAATTTATGTCGGAACACGCCACTCTACACCGATGTACAGTCTTCACCTCCTCGACGTCGATGTCTACTTCGTGGATTTTGTCGAGAAAACCCGTTGAAGTTGAAGTATGTCCCAGTTTGAAAATTGCATAACTAATTATCTGATTATGTTCTTATGTTATTTTAGGGGGTTTTGTTTAGCTCTTTTTTGTTGACATCTAATGCATATAAGTCTGGCAAATCAATAAAATATCGAAATCTTGAACTGCCATTACATAGAATATATCAATACTGTACAGTACCTTGAAGTAATAAACAATAACGTAAAATTAGTGATTATCTGATTGTTGATAGCCTACTTTAATTCTTTACTGTATCCATTTTTTTCAATTTTCAAATAATCTTTAGTATCATAAGTTGTCAGTTGAAAATGGAAAACTTCGAAAATAAAACTGATAGTCGTGAACATTAATTGAAATTGTATTAAAAACGTTTTACCTGTAATTACCTGCAATCACCTACATGTTGCAACCATGGCGAGTATGTACACTTCCTGTCTAAACAAAAATCGAAAGGAATGAATTCGGAAATGGAAACAGAAAGCTGTTGACGGTCGGATAAAGATAAATTTAAATGAAGATATTATTTGAATGAACAAGGATACTATTAAATAAGTATTCTGTTTGTGTATTTAATTTGATATAATTTTGATGCTTTCGGAAACATCTGATAAATAAATCCTTTTCGTTTTCCGTCTCAAGTTATTTCCCTTTATTGCAAGGTGAAGGTCATATTTTTTTGGATTTAGCTCAATACAGGATTGGAGCCAAACTCCTCGCAGCGGTTACTTCCCCTGATCTGTACAGTAACCACTGCCACCACAAGTAAATTCGGTCGAATATAGCCGGATATATTTTTTTCACTTTTAATTTTAAAATAGAATACTTAATATCATTTTAGTTTTCTTTCGTTAAATAGTTATGCTTAATGTACAAGAAAGTAAAAAATTATACGTTTAAAAATTATTTTGTAAACATAACGAAAGATATTTTCACTGTGACACCGTATGCATAGTAACAACCAGTAAACAATGGCAGAATATAAACAGTTATTGAACGATTGCACAAAAAGATTTGATCCGGCACTTGTTTTAAAGTGATAACAAATTGTGTGTCTTGAACTTATTTTGTCTGGTAAGGATGTAATTATAAATCTGCCAGTTTGATATGGGATCCTTGGCATTCTGAAACTGGCCGCCATGTTTTTGTCACATGATACAACTATCATCACGTGATTTCAGTGGTGGCAGTGGTTAAAGTAGCAAAGCGTGACGTAACCGCTGTGAGGAGTTTGTGGATTTAGCTCAATACAGGATTGGAGCAGTACCTCTAGACGCTTGCAGAAATCATGATCACAAAATAGACAAATATCGTTTTTTTCGCTGATTTTAACATTTTTCATGCATTATCATACATAAATCAGTGTGAAAAGATGAATTAGACCTATTAAAGTTCATTCCGTTGCGTAAAAAAGCAAGATTTTGGCATTTTACGATTCAAGCGCCTTGTCCGGTATATACCGGAATACGGTATTTAGTGTGGTGCTCCAATCCTTTTTTTAGTCACAGCCTATTTTTTTTACCGGCGAAGGTCAGTTGACAGAATTTGCTGAAAGGCAGTAATAATGGCTACTAAATACACAGTTGTTCTAGTGAGGCATGGTGAAAGCGAATATAACAAGGAAAACAGGTTTTGTGGATGGTTCGATGCAGATCTTTCAGAGTTAGGTGTCCAGGAAGCAAAGAATGCTGGAAAGGTAATTTCACTTAGTTTCGTTCTCAGCATGTTTCGACCCATTTTGAATTGAGTTGAGTTTTAAGAATAATTTTGAACAAAATGAATTATGTGTGTGCAATATCTGTTTTTTTATGTCACATAGTTATTTAGTTGCCAACTTGTTGTCTCAATGAATGTGAATGAGTGAAACATCAGTGTTGCATCTAGAATTTCAAAATAATGGGGGATTGTCCCCCACTCACCTGAAAAATGTGGGGGATTTGAAAAAAATGTGGGGGACATGCATTCGCCTAACAATTAGACGTACTCATTTATTTTAAGTTCAGGCATTTTTGAAGCTATTGTCTGCTCCACAACGGAAATAGAAAAAATCAAATATTGACGATTACAAGTGCGCAGATCAAACTATCAAGCTAGATGATAATTAAAATCAGAATTTGTTACAAGATTTAATTTCACATCACTCTTCTTAATACACAGATGCTTGAGACAAGTGCTTGCAGGGCACTTGTTTGGTCGTTTTTGGGGCCGAATATGGGTACCATTCGAGGGTTCTCACTAGGACTTTAAAACATAGAGTCCATGGACTCCCAACCCTGAAAAAGTTGGAGTCCAAAAGTGTGTCGCAATTAATATGTTACAGTTTAGTAATTTAATGCTCACAATAGCATTGCTGATATTTTGAATCTTCAAGAGACTTTCAAAGTTTATAGTTATTCACAACAAACTCTGAACTACATAGTATAATTATTGTTTTGTTGTTAATATTTATTTTGAAATTATTTCATTATAATGCATCAACACATGGAAATCGTTTTTTATTTTTCACTTTTATACCAAATCAAATTTTATTCTGGTAAAATAAGTCCACTCTAAAGACAAAAAGTTTATATTTGTAAAAAAACCGTAAATGTATATAGGCAGCGTTTAGCGGAATGAATAGGAAAATCGTGTACAGCTTCACACAGTGTGTAAGAGATTCATCCGATCGACAATTATTTTAGCAAATATCTTCAAAAGGGGGCAAATTGAAGATCGATATTTAAAGATTTAATGTTGATTGAATAATAAAGGAACAATTCATTCACATGTTTGGCTTGGAAACAGAGAATTTTTGCGAAATTTTAGGGTTTCTGGCGAAGTGAAATTGCCGATGTTCGGGATCAATTTTCGGATAAAATCTAAATATCAAAGAAAAGCGTATGTGTATTTTGGTTTGTTGTCCTGGAATTTCGTCACAATATCTCAAATTCTTAATACTCTTATAGAACGTTTTTGCAAGAATGAAACGAAAGCAAAATTTTGCCTAGAAAATGCCAAAATGTCGAAAATATTCGACAATAATTCAAAATTACACTCATTTGTAATTTGAGAAAACAGTCTTTAAATTTGCGGCGTAATTAGTCAATATTTTTATCCTTTTGTCGGTAAAATTTGCTAATTTCCAATTAACTGTTGATCAAGTATATAAAATTATCATCTCGTGTTATATCTGGTAATTACACCTACAGCGCGTGTACATACATTACGTCACCTTGGCGCAAAAAGTACTGTAACTGACATTTTTGAAATTTTACAGGAGACACAAAAAACTGATTTGTTCATTTTGAGTAAAGCCTTTTAATTCCAGACAATAATGTTAAAATATCATTAATAAGTATTATTAAATTGGTTTTAAACATTACAATTATTCATTTATGGATAAAAAGTAATTAGACATTCTTCTACACTTACATGACTTTTTGCACTGTGATTTTAAATGCAAAAAGTGATGTAAGTGCACTTACCATAGTTTTTGCACTAACTTTAATTTTAAGTATCGAAGTTACTGCATTGCATAGACATTGAAAGATGTTTATTACAAACAAATTAATTGTAAGGTTTGTTTAAAATAGGTCATTGTGGATTATGAACCACATTTAATACATTAAACATATGAAAGGAAGTTTAAAAACTGAATATTTTGAAATTAATTTTAAACAGTAACAGTAAATCCAAAGCAGTTTTTTTTAATTTCAAAGTAAATGTAAGCATTAATCACAACAAAATTACATGAAAACTGCAGACTCACTTGATTAAGTCTGTACATGAGCAATAACGAAAAGTGCAACATCCTTCACGCCCCCTAGCACCGACTTAAGCTGTACTCAATTTTCAACACTTAAAAGTACTGGAATCAATGATTACAGAGGACCAGAAAAAACATAACAACACTGAAGTGAAGTACGTGACAACTTATTAAACCATGTTTTTGACTGTTGTCATTTTCTAATGGTACAGTTTATTTATGTATTAGGTATTAAAAGGGGTATTCGGAGATCCATAATAACCTCTTTGTCTCAATAATAGCAAACCATCACAGGGATGTAGACTTTGATATTTTGGATAAAACCATTAGGAATCCTGAACTTTTCTGAACTTTTTTGTTGGATGTAGCTGAACATTTTTGTTGGATGTAGGAATTTGGATGAACCTGCTAAGAATACTAAACTTTTCTTCTCCAACATATCCAGTGAGATCCTTTTATATTATATCTCATGAACAGACTTTAATTTTTAATAAATAATTTTGTTTTCATTGCTTCTTCTTTTCAAATTTTGATATATTGAGTTCAAATTGTCTTATTTCCTGCCACCAACCTTTAAACAATTTATACGCCATATCACTATCATTGTTTAATAGCTTTGATTTTATATAAAAATTCAGACTAATTTTTGTGACATAATGTAGTTTGGGTCTTTGAAAATTGAGATTTTCTGTTAATTAAAGTGTTTTAACATGCACGACATAGAGAATGAACTGAGTCATTCTAATTTTTGATAATAGACCCCGTTCTATATGTATGAATGTATGGGAGTTGTAGATGCACCACATTAGACTTAACATACTAGCAATTATGGTTTTGACCAATATATTATTGAAACAGATTACATGTCTTTGTCTGCCATGTTTTTATAGAAATTAAAATAGAAAAGATAAACCAATGTTACCAACTGTTTCTTTCCAGGGCTATAAACAGTGAAATTGCAGTTACATTTTTATAATACAGTAACTGTTGTCCTAATATAATGCAATAAGAATGTAAATCTTTTAAGCAAGTTTTTTCTTAATTTTTATAATAAATAATTGAGTAAACAATTGAAAAAAAAAATTACTTAGAGCTGTCATCAATAGAAATGATATTGATGTGTATCGTTGATAATTGTTGATCAGTACACATTTTAGAAAATCGATAATTTTGATTTAATAATTTAATGTCTAGAAATTATGAAAATTCAACCAAAACATATACAGAAGCATATTTCATGGCAGTGATGACAAAAAATTGTTAGCAAAAATAATGCAATGGGCATTTGTTTGAAACAGGACACATTTATGAAAAGACCATGTTTTTACTGAAAGAATTTAAGCAATTATGGAAAAGTAGTACGTAATTATCAATATATCTGTGTATCATCAAAATTTTTTCATCAATTTGTTTTTCCACCGAATCAATGACAGCTCTTATATTACTTGAATCATTTAAAAATATCAACAAAATTTGAATACTGAAATATTCCTAGCTATATTGTTTGTTGTTAAATTAAAATGAAACATTTTCTTTAAATGTTAGTTTCCTAAAGTAGATTTATATATAAAATTTGTATTTTAGAAATAATTTTGCTATTTAATAATGCAGTAGTGAAATATTTTAATGCAGTTACAATACTTTTTGCATCAAATTATTTTCAACTTATCTGTATAAACATTGGCGCAAAAACTCATGTAAGTGTACTTACTGTAGTTTTTGCACCAACAAATTCTGAAGCTGCACTTACATTTTTTATTTTTATGCCAAAAAAGTCATTTTTTATCAAAATTCAGCTTCTAAACTTCAGAGACTGGTGAAAGTTTGTATTTCTAACCAAATAATGACAAAAAGTGATTTTCTCAAAACATGTCAGTTACATTACTTTTTGCTCCAAGGTGACGATTAGTCTGATCAATGATCGAAAGCGTTATCGCTGATTGGCTAATCGCTTCACGGGTCGATGTGCATAGGACCGCCTACCTATAGACAGACACGCGCAGACGTATTTGTGAAATCGGTAATGTTTATGCGTCCCCAGGCAAAATTAAGCGTATGTGGAATCCTTGCTCTGAAATATTTGCGTCCAGCTGTAATAAACATGCATACCGGGACGCCGAAATAAGCGTCCCCGAGAACCCAGCCATTCCCCTCTCAAAATCATATGTATTTTTCCCCAATCTCAGAAAAATATCTCCTCCAAATTCTAAAATAAATCAACTTAAAATAATTTGTTTTATTTGTTAGTCTACATCAAAAAAATATACTTAAGTTATTGATTTCAATGGTAGGAAATTACTAACTATTGAAACCAATGTTAAGAAAAAGTGTGATAAGTAAATGTGAAAAAAATACACTAAATACATAATTACATAAAATTCCGGATTTTGCCTTAAAACGACGCAAAAATACCCTTCCTTAGGGTATGGGTACCTGTCCTCAAAAGGTGCCTAGTGCCCTGGCTTGAGATGGTTTTGTTCGCTAGAAGTGTCAATCATCATTATCTTTATCAATCAGTGTCAACAGTTCTTGTGTATTACTAAAATGTCTGGGAAAATCTATCTGATATCAACATGTTATCAGCATCTTAGGATAATTAATATACAGTGAGATACGCAACCCCATATCTTTATTCTCAATTCTACTGATAAGAATAGCTGTCGCCTGCTAGTTTGAAACTTTCAATCGGTGTATTTACGAGTATTCACCTGCACATATAACACAAAAGAGACTAATGGCTTCATAATTCTACACTTACTTACCAATACAAAATATATGATATAACCAAGTTATATAAGTGTGCAGACATAATCCCCTTTCGGACAAAATCCCCTTCGCATACCCGGACAAAATCCCCTTCATGGGTGGACATAATCCCCTTCGTGTTTTTGCAAGGCTGGACAAAATCCCCTTCACTACCCGGACAAAATCCCCTTGTTTCATAGGTTTCTAATGTATTATTATGCTCCATAAAAATTGATGAATAATGTATTATTATACTCCCTAAAAATTGATGAATAATGAATTTTTGTTGTTTTTTTATTTATAACTGTATCAATAGTTAACCTTTATTTAGTTTAGGAAGTTTAAATTATCAACTGCATAACACTTATTTGATTAGGCAATTTCTTTAATTGTTTTAAATTTATTAGTATGTCAAAAACATTTTTATTAGCCAAAATTGTTTCATTGATTGTATAAGTTGATACTTCTAATTGATACATATTATCCATTGTTAAATTTCTATTGATGAAAGAGTGATAATTTAATCAAACCAAGATCACTGCAATACTTGATTGATTGTTATGAATGCTTTAAGAAAGCAATTTTAATGTCATTAAATGTGCTAATTGAATGTGCTTTTCTGCTGAAATATTTTCTTTTTATTTATACATTACGATATTTACCACACAGCATAATGCAGTATGTTACTCTCATACCCACGCTATAAACTGAAAATTCATCTGAGGGGGATTTTATCCTAGGTAGCAATTTTATGAAGGGGATTTTGTCCACTTCAAAATTTCACAAATGCAGGGGATTATGTCCACCCATGGAGGGGATTTTGTCCAGATATACAAAAATACATGAAGGGGATTTTGTCCGCAGGGGATTATGTCCGTACACCAAGTGTGCCATCTATTTTTCAGTAAGTTACCTTTTAATCATCTTGAAAATGGGGCCTGGTATGGTTAACCTATTCTGGCAAGTTGGAGTTTTGTTAAATTCTATTGATTTCTTCATTTATCAAATTATTTGATGATATCTTCCATATTTGGTAGATATATTATACCTTCAATGGCCCTCTAACTTTTTGTGGAGTAAGGGGTCACTTGTGTCAAGGACAAGGTAACTGTAAAAAAATAAATTTATACATTTAATTTATAAATAAATGGATGTCTTTTATATTTAATATGGATTTGCCTAGGTAGGTCCACTTGACCTTTTCCTTTGGGTTAAGTTATTGGCCATTTGGGTCAAGATCAAGATAACCTGGTTGCCAAAAATAGATTTGTTAGCAAGATAACTTGCGTGGTCTTCCTTTTGATTGAGTTAGGGGTCAGTGGGTCAAGGTCAAAGGTGCCTTAATAGATTTTTACACATTTTCTTATACAGTCTTTATTCATTGTCTGCCTTTCTTTATTGACTGATGTTTTTCATATTTGGTAGGAAGATACCTTGTTTGGTCTTCTTCCTCTGGATTTAGGGTCAGTAGGTCAAGGTCAAAGATGCTAAAAATACATTTTTACACATATAAAGAGCTGAGATTTTCAGTCCTACAAGATTCTCTGAGATATTTCTTTGCTTTAGGTCAAGATAATTTATTGACTTATTAAAATTACCAAATTAAATGAATATGTTTTCCTATTAATTTTGAATCAATATAATGTTTACATTTCATTTCCTTAGTAAACCGATGATTGAATTGGCCTCCTTTTGAGCGATGACATTTCCCGTTACACCGTTATTCCAGAACTTTAAAATTTAAAGTATACTGTATGTTATATCTGTATATTTTACGTATTTTATGCATTAATTAATGTCAATTTGTGCTGTCTGAGTTAAGCTGAATTGCTTTGCAGTGAACCGTATGGTCAAAAAAGAGAAAAAGTAAAAAATAAACAGAAAATTCAATTTGGATTTATTTTTATCTTAACTTTTGGTATGAAAATTATCTAACATGTATTTTACTTGTGGTTACTGGTTATTTTCATACCACTTGATGAAAATAAACCCCATATCTATAGAAAAAAACTTGAATATCCAGTTCCTCTATGCATTATTCATTAGGTAACTAAATTTTCAAATTTTAGGTATTATTATGGGAATTCCATAATTATCATAGCTCTAACAAAACTTTAGTATGTTCCTCTATTATTTCATTATGCAAGATTTTCTACAAGTTGACACTCTTTGATAAGGTTTAACATGGTTATTTAAAAAATGCTCATCATTTCTGTGTAATACACATTGACAAAACTATGTACTGTTAATCATCACCTTATTGCAGTAACGGGTTAAGTTCCTCTAAATTTGATACAAGTTAAGTTCAGTTAACCAGTTACTGCACTAAGAAGGCGGATAGCTTTTTTATTCATCCAGAAAGGAAATGAAACAATTAATTGATTTTGTAACGCCATCCAGTCATAAAGATTTTTACTGACAGTAATATACTACAATGACTGGAACATATCCAAGAGATGCTGTTGTTTTTACAGAGATTTCTCTGTAATCAGCAGTATATCAATGCATGGTAATAGGTAATTGTAGGATGGCGGTTATTCTACTTTCTGTAACCCCAACATAGAAATAGGGTATAGGTAAACGTTATGTAACATAATAATAACTACATGTACATTATATTGGTGTTAGGTAAGTATGACGTTGCACTTGTTAGCAATGTTTGAACTTTAAGTCAGATTTCCCTTTCCTTTGTGTGTCAAATTACAGATTTACTTTTTCTCTGTGTGTCAAATAACTGGCAATTTCTAGTTGCCAGAATGTACTTGTATACATTTTGTTTTCATATAGTTATACATGATTGTACTGTATGTTGTGTAAATACCATATTTGAGTCAAATATCTATTGGTCTATTGCTCTATTCCTAATTGCAGTGTCTGGGACATATTTCTCTCCTATTTTTTTTCCGCCTTCAGATCATCCGTACACCGTTATTAAATCAACAAACATGACTATAAGTAGCAGTCCTAATTTAACGGTATATTTACGCATTGTAACAGATATTTTCATACAAATTTAATCTTTTTTATGAGATGATTATTTTTTCTGAACCACAGGCCTAGTGCATCATGAAGCTTAAACGGTAAAAGTGTGTTTGCACAAGAAAATCTTATATTTGCTGTGTTCCGGATAGCACCTTTAACACCGTGACGTAGCGCATACATGAGCTGATTATAGTCTTCATTTGCATGTTAAAATTCGTATACGAACTTTAGTGTTACCGTGGGGTTTTCCATTTAAAATCCTAATTTATGAACAATATTTGATGAGATTTACAACGATACTGTTAAAAAGGTTAATGAAACTGTAGAATGCTTGGTTTTTAGGCCGTCGGCAAAAATATTTTAACATATTTATTTAATGTAGCTTTAAAAGATCTTGCACTGGTGTGAATTGACATTTTATTGATATTGAACTTTCTTTTTCAGATGCTTAAAGAGAAGAACTACACATTTGATATAGCTTACACAAGTGTGTTGAAACGTGCACTAAAGACCTTGTTTTTCGTACAAGATGAACTTGACATGCACTGGATACCAGTTGTGCGACACTGGAGACTGAATGAACGCCATTACGGTGGACTTCAAGGTCTGAACAAGTCTGAAACTGCTGCCAAACACGGAGAAGCCCAAGTCAAGGTGATAGTTTATGTCAAGTTTAACTTAAAGCAGCATATCTCCAGATTAATGCTTATTTTCATGAAAGTTTTGAAAATATATTTAAAAGTGAAATATTGTGTATTAAACAAAGAATGTAGCCTAAGCTTATACATTGTGTTCTTGAGCTGTAAAAACCAAACAAAAGAACAAGGTATAACTTTTTATGTTTGTTATTTGAACAGGTCTGGAGACGATCGTATGACACACGTCCACCAGCACTAGAAGCAGGTGATGCTAGATCTGCTACAAATGAGGCAAAATATGCAGTAAGTTTGTTTGATTTAATAACACTAAACTGTTCACCTTTACACTGCTGGTACAGAAAGTGATTAACATCTGTATAGAGCCAGGCCAGACTGCATATTCATACAGTCTGACTAGGCCCTATACTGTTGGCTTTCAAATTTCAAATTTTCATATTATGATCCCCAAAATTGATAATGGACAGTTCCAAATATGGAAGAAGGATAAGTCCATTTTATTTTAAGAAATTCGGCAGGTTAAGGGTTCAAGTTCCATAAATTGTAGTTCATAAAAGTTCATTTGAATTATACATGTATTTATTTGAAGTCAAATTATGAGAATTGAGCAGTTTTGGTGAAGATCAAACAGAAATCCAGTGTTCAGAGGAAAAAAAAGTATTTGGATGTTCAAAAAATGTATCTATCAGATTTTTTACTAGATCTAACATATTTTTGCCAGAGATCTGAAGTTTAAGCATAGAGTTTTAAAAAAGAATTCTTTTAAGCTCATAGAGTTTAATGGTTTTACAGCAACTTTTTCTCATACATCATACATGGGTGAATTTTTTTTTTAATCAAGAAAACTTTTGATTTATAATAGTTTTCTTTTACCTTTATATCACAAAGAGTGCTTTTGGAATCTGAAAATCAAGAATTTAATGAATAGTCTTGAATGGCAAATATATATAAAAATAATATTTCCCAAAATTATATTTGAAATTTCCAATGACTATAAAAAGGTTGTTGACAAGAATTTTTTAAGCTTGACTTTTCTTTGCAGAAAAATATATTAAGGATTTGTTAAGTCATATTGGCATTCCTGTTGCTGTCCACAAACTTTTTCAGTTCTTATTTTTTTGCAGTTTTTTTTTCCACAAGATTTTCCTAAAATGGATGGTCCCGAACCATTTCTTAAAATGCTATAAGGAAGCACAGAAAATGTTTTCCCATTTGTGTTATCTATTTCATTGTTATTGCAGCAATATGACAAGGCCGTTGTACCAATGTGTGAATGTTTGAAGGATACTGTAGCTAGAGTACTTCCATACTGGCATGACATCATTGTTCCAACAATCAAGGTTTGTAGCTCTGTTTGTTAATTCGAGTCAGTGTGTTTGTAAACTGCTTCAAATATTTGTTGACTGTTTTGATACTGTGTGTTGGTCAAAACCAAAGTGGCAGCATGGCTGAGTGGTTAACACATCAAACTAGTAATCTAAGGATCGCTGGCTGCTTAGATTCAATTCCCCTCAGGTGTAATCCATTGTTTCCTTGTGCAAGAAACTTTACACTCATTGCTTAGTACTGGTTGGTTCCAGGAACATATTTGAAAGTGTTTCAGTAAGCTTATAGCTTCCAACACAATCAAACTAAGTTAAATATGTAAAAACTAATACCAGCAGTTTAGAGCTCAGCTAGGCCAGCTTGCTTCTTTTCATCTCCATTCTATATTGACAAAGTAAATACTGTTAAAAATTTGATTCCGAAATGTTTTTAGATTAACAATGAACAGTCTAAAAGTTCAAGCAGAAAGTTGATTGGTTTGTAAGAAAGCATTTGTTTATGAGTGCATATTTTAACATTTTTGTATATTTTTTTACAAGAACTGAGGTTTGTTAAGCAATCTACAATAAACAGAATTAATACTTGCTGTTAAATTTCAAAAGGATAAAAGAAAGTCTTTCTTTTACACATTGTATCTAAATATTCAGCTTGAAATCTACTTTACTACTTTTCTTTCTGTTGTATTTTTAGTTTTGATAGAAATTAACTTCCTTTCTTTGTGTATTGTTTTTCTAGTCTGGACAAAAGGTACTGATTTCAGCCCATGGAAACAGTCTGAGAGCTTTGATCAAGTATTTAGATAATGTGTCTGATGATGAAATTACTGAACTTAATGTACCAACAGGTAAATTTTATTTAATTGCAATGTGTGGCCAAGTGGTTAAGGTTGTTGACTTCAAACTACTTGCCCCTCTTTGCTGTGAGATTGAATCTTGATAAGGACTTTGGATTTTTTCATGTAAGGAAGCTATCCAGCTAGCTTACGAAATGTTGATGGTTTTACTAAGGTGCTTGTTCCTGCTTGAAATAATGCACTAAGAGGCATCTGAGGTCTTTCTCCATCAATAAAGCTGGAAATTTGCCATATGGCTTATACTATGCAAAGTAAAATTCAACCAAAAATTTCAATGTGTTTAACTGTTGTTTTTTTACACAAAAGACAAATGATTCTAACTATGCAACAAGCGCAAACCTGGTTCAGTTCTGTCAGTACATAATTTGAAATTTTCCCTAAAAATGATGAATGGTTTTGTCCTGATTGAAAGCTGGATGAATCCATTTAAGATATTGAGGGTGGAAAGGTTATATAAAAACATAATTCAGTGACTTATAATGAAAAATGTTGAACTAGAATTTCTTTCAGTCAATAGTTTTTGTATTGATGATATGTATATTATATATTGTAATATATTAATGTAACACCATGTTTTCAGTGAAGAGTTTTTGTATAGATGATATACATATGTTGTAAATATATTAGCAGGTATTTATTAATTATGATTTATATTACAGGTATTCCACTAGTATATGAATTAAACGAAGATATGAAGCCAGTGAAACATTACTACCTAGCCGACGAGGCTGCCGTCAAGGCCGCCATGGATAAAGTCGCTAACCAGGGAAAAGCCAAGTAAAAACGCTGCCATGCCAGGAAAACTGTGAAGAATAGGAACCTTTGTATTTGAACGTTCATTTAATGTAATTGTTCGAATATGACTTTTACGTAGTAAATATAATAAATGTATGTGCAAAATACAGAACGTGCAGAACATTTGTGGTGCACATGTTATACATGTAGTACATAAACGAGTCCTTCAATGATACAAGTTTTAATTGCAAATTTTTAATTATCACATTTGCTACACAATGAAGGAATTCTTCATAGTAGTAAATTGTACAATCTCCACGATTTTTGAGAACTGTGTCTTTGGATAATATAGAGAAATTTCTTACTTAACGAGATCTGATGTGTTGTGTCATAATATGTGCTGTATTTAGATAGTAATGATTCCTGATGAGAAAACACATCAAATGTTAGGTGATTTTAATTGCACATGCTGTATAATATGTAACTGTTTATTTATTACAAGTATTTTTTTCTTTTCTTGCTTTTAAGTGCTATATTTACAAATTTGTGTTATTGTTATCCTTACCTTTTGAGAAATAGAAAAAAATAAAGAATACTCACAATTTTTTTTTTCTTTCAAGTAATATTTTCAGTATTTACAAATCTTGGTTCTAGTGGTTTCCATGGTCAAGTGGTTTTAATCGCTGAGTCACATCACCTCTGGGTTTGAATATGACAGAATTTGGATGTATGCATAACAACATGCTATCCAACTGATTACTGGAAGTTCGATATTTCTACTTATGTGTCCCCATGTGACTAAAATTACATATACACGGCACATGAGGTTACACTCGGCCAGTAAAGCTGGAAAGTCGCTTTATGATGAAATCTAAAACCTGTTTTTACTAAATCTGTAGAATTGGCTTCCTATTCACTCAACATAACCACCTTTTATCAGTAGAATGAACATTTACTGGATTGATGTTTGTCTCCAATATGTTTTCAGCAGTGAATGAGTTAAGAGGGTACAAATATGAATATGCACTGTGTGCTTAGTCATAACGCCTTTTCAACTCTGAACAAATGGTCATTTCAACACAATTAGTTTTAGTTTAATGATTACTAGTCTGTCACTTCAGTAGAAATAGGTAATTGCTAGCAAGTTACCAGAAAAGTTGGTTAAGTGGGTTGATTGCTTAGATGGGACCAAAAATGCAGTAAAACTGATGCTTTCCTTACAAAAGTTAATACAACTATTACTGGTTAACTGCTTGATAGCCTGCCCAGGAACAATGCAGTGGCTGAACCGTGCTCTGGTTTAATACCATGATATGGAGGGTGCTCTACCACCACCACCACTAAATTCATTCTAGAAAAGTAAGCTTAGCCATGTTTAAAGTTTTAACAATAATTTTCTATACAGCTTGGAATATCCTAGGTTACAAACATTTGTACTGGGCCACAAAGCTGGTACTAAAATCTTATCAGTATTAATTAATTCAAAATTACTAATAGCTTACTTTAAATTTGTTTATTTCAACTCAATGATGATGAAACCTTAATGCTTATCTAAACCACTTCTTAGCTCCTTTCCTGGAGCCACAGGAGGAAACGTTGATGTGACCCCAGTAGGGCTTGAGCCCACATTCCTTGGGTTGAGAGACAGACACTTTACCCACTATTTTTGTTTACCCTTTTATCAATATTATTGATGAAGATGGGGTAAATTACATATATTTATTCACATACTTATCATAGAAAATCATACATGAAGCACAAAGATAAGATTGTGTTTACAGATATTAACAACCACATACTTGTTTTATCAAATTTTTAACTTCTTAATCAAAATCAATAAGAATAACATAACAAACACAGTTCAGAATTTATACATATTTTTATTGCACAGTATTTTCTACAAAAATTTTCACTACATTCTTAAAAACATGAAAATATGTATTCTAATATAGATGTACATGTATAATGTCTTAATGATCAGGGAATTGAGTCCTGTACCCCTAGTTAAAGACTAGAAAAGACCATAAAATGTAGCCCTATTAAAAGTATTTTCTTTTAAACCCATATTATTTTCATTGAGCTGAAAAGTTATTTTAAACCTGTTCACAGAGAAACTTTCATTAATAATAATGAATCTGGTTTTTGTGCAGTGAGGTATTGCAAATGAATCTGGTTATGAAAAAAAATTGAGCTAAAAATGGTTTTGAAAGATACATGTAATTTTTTGAAGAAGTCATAACTTATGTTACATACCTTTACGTGACAAGGATACAAATTAAATAGGATATCAAAACTAATGAAACAATTTTAAGCGGTTTGAGAAGTGTAAAATTATTCACAATGAAGCGCTTTTGCAATTATTATGCAAGATACAAATGTATGACTAACATTTTTTTACTGTTTTTATTGCATTGTTAAAATAATGTTGATTTCTTAAATTTCTCGACTTGATATGGAGGCATGCAGCTTTTAGGAAAATTTTAAAATAGGCTTTGACTGAATAATGAGCAGTGCACACAATGACGGGACAGCATAGACGTACCAGCTGATCTCAGTCTGCACTGGTGGCATGGGTAGAATCTGTTGCTGCCAGCAGGCTTAGAGTTAAAGTTTTAAAAAAAATTAAAAAAATGCTCTGCTTTAAGCTATAAAGATACAAATTCATTTTAACATACACAGCTTGGTGTACAGCTTAGCACATCCTATTTATACAAGGTTGAGAAACGTTAAAAGACAAATCAAGTTAACATTTTAGACACTGGTCATTACAACAGTTACTGCAATAAATTCATAAATTCCATATCTTAATGAAATGTTTTAACTGTCTAAAACACTCTTGTGTTTTTTTAAGAAACTATAAAACTGAAAAGGCTTGGTATAAAAGCACACAAATTTGAAAGCAAAATATTTGATTAAAAACAACTACCACAGTGCTACATACTAATTAACTAATAGTTAATGTCAATTTAAAAAAGTTTCAATACTGTTGAACAAGCAACATGTAAAAACTAGAAATACTTCTTTTTTTATTAATAAAATGACTAAATTATAAGAAACCTGAAAACTTAAAAAGGAAAATGCATTTTTTAATGGAAACAAATATCAAGCAACAATAAGTAAACAGTAAAACAAATGAAGAAATTGAGAAAATGAATACTGAAGAAGTATGCCTGTATTCAACAAGATAAAAATATATATACAAATGTAAATACATGTATATTTATACTGTAATAAATAATCTGATCTGACGATGAGTGTTATGTATCAGAACCCCGTTTATATTGGGGGTTTGTGACCTTGGACCCAACTTGAGCACTGTGACTGGGTGCCAGTGTATTCAGAAAATAAGATGTTTCAGTCTCAAATAGGGCTTGTTTCTTAATCAAAATGCTTCATTTTTTTAAAAGTCCCATAATAAGGGTTGTTTTGCCTCTGTATTCGCCCAATCTCACTAATATTGGTCTGGAATTTTTCATTTTGGCCTTATTAAAAATAATATATTGGCTTCAACACCCAATTACAAGACAGGATAGAAAAAGGAAAATGGAGTCCATTGTTTTGTAGATTAATAATGAAGTTAGTTAATTTTGTGGTTCATGAAATAAAATACTGCTTATTTATTATGTACCTATTATTGTAAACAAATAAAAAGAACAAGTCTGTAAAAGTTCCCGTCATTGACAAATAGATCTTATGAATACAGGCAATGAGGTATTCAGGGATTTCTAATGACTTAAATATAAACATATGATGAAAATAAACATTCACAATACAATACAATCTAAAATGTCATAACATGTCTTCTTCAGTTGACAAATAAATGACTAAAATGAAATTGTGAGGTGAATAAATACTAGAACATAATTATTTGTGTAGAAAAAAATGTAGAGAAATTTTCTCCCTAAATAATTCAGGACTCCCGACTTGAGTTTCTAATAAATTTCAGATAAATTAATATTCAAAAAAGAAGAATTTTAATGCTATCATATCAGCCATATAACTTCAAATATATTTTATTAAAACTGTGTGTTATTATTTAAAATAGCAATTTTACACCAAGCCATTTTATACTGCATCTGCATGAAATTTGTCATTTAAAAATGGATCAATTTAATAAATTGAGCAAAAATAATTCTATTCAAAATAACACTGCTGTGAGTGATAGATGCTTTTCGACAGATTTGTTATTTGTTTAAAGAAAGAAAATCTGTATAATTTACCAAAAAAAGTCTATAATTAAATGCACTAATAGTTACAAATACAAACATAAAATGATAATTTCATTGTTTATTGTAAAAGGTATTAAAATTGAATGATGAATGGTCAACTTAAAAAAGTTTGAAAAGAAAATAACAACAAAGTACATAAAACTCTGGCAAGCAAAACAATAAAATATAATAATATGCAATTAATAAAACTTTATACATAAAAAACATGCAGTATGAAATTTAATACATTTTTACATTTTATTACAAATAACACAGAGAAGTTATGACTAGGAGTAAACAATGGGCATAAAATTCCTTTTCTGTTAATCTTTTTCAAGTATAAAATACCTTTTAATAAATATTAAATTATGAAATAGTTTTTCACAACCCGGGGTTTTAGCATACTTTTATTAACAACAAGAAATGTGTTCATAGGACACGGATGCCCCCACACGCCATTGCTCTGTCAATCTTATGACTCTAGGTCAAATATTTTTTGGACTACATGTGCCACAAGTTGAAAACTAAAAATCAACAAATAATAATTCTGTTAAATTTGGTCGCAGCAAAAATTCCTTCCTTTACTACCATCTAGACATTAAGGTTGTTCATCCCTGGAAGTTTAAGCAAAATCTGCCATCCGGTTAAGAAATTTTGCTGCGACCAAATTTAACAGAATTATGACCCTTTGTTGATTTTTTCACTATATACCATATAGAAATTTTGTGAACGCAACTCTATACCGGGTGGCAGATTTTAATAAAAAGTTCCACATAAAAATCTTACATACAGATATGCATGCTCTTGTTTACGAGCACATCTGCACAGTGGGGGCATCCGTGTCCTTTGGACACAGTTCTAGTTTTTTTTTTAAGTTTACTAGTTTTCATCATAGAACACCATGTGCCAGTTAGCATCTTTAAAAGCACACAACCATTCTTGAGCTGAGTAATGGAAAGGGAAGAATAATTCTTATTTGAAAACAGGCTATATCAGGTCATCTTCATATTTAAGTGTCAAAGTCTTTAACAATATTACAATATTACATTGTTACTTTAAATATTCCAGATAAAAGTATAAATTTGTCTCTCTACACAGATGGTATTTGGCAAAATGTAAACACTTAAATTAACAAAATATTCCTTAAAAGTGTTCAAAAATGAATTACTACAATGAAGATAAAAATCCAATAAGTCCTTGAAAGGAATGGTTTATAATAGTACCATATAGCTGTCTACAGCCAAACAATGTCCAGAATTATGTCTTACCCAGCTATACTTGGACTAGCCCTGCTAATGAAACAGTCCATAAATACATATAGTTAAATGGATTTCCATAACAAAATACTAAGGGGTACCCGCCAGAGAAGGAGGATGGACCCTCATTAAGCGTAGCG